AATGGCGGGCGCGAGGCTCGAAAACGTAGTCCCTGACTCTACGAGTGTCAGGTTGAACTTCCTTGCGGTCTGACACTTGTGAAGAATATACTGTATAGATGGCAATTTAGAAGAAGAAAGAAGAGAACAGGAACCTTGCTTATTGTAGGAAATTTACTTCCACACAAATTTACCGAATTCTTACAACGATTGAGCATTTTAACTATTCAATGTCTAAGAAGAAATATTATAGAAAATTCTTCGAATCGATTTCTTTTCGAGTTTCGAGAAAATTGCTTCGTCTCTTTAATTACTATTCCAGAATTTTCTGAATGTTTCGAAGAAAAAAATTACCGCTTTAAACTAAGAATAATTTACAAAAGTCTAATTTTTAAAATTACCATTTTAAATTTAGAATAATTTATAAAATTACCATTTTAAATTTAGAATAATTTATAGAAATTTAATTTATAAATGACTATAGGTCAGACGTGTCTTATATGTATTTCTCGTACGAATGGAAAAACGTTTCAGAAATTAGTCACACTGTATCGCGAATAAATACCAGGAAGAAGGACAGATACAACGAAAAATCGAACGAGTGTCGATTTATGTAACACAATTTGTCGAAAAAAATGACGGAAGAAGTCGTTTCAATTTTTTTCGCGCTTCTTAGCCGATATTGGACTTTTTATCGTGAACAGCGTTTGACAAGAGAAATCGACGAATGTTGGAGAAAAAGTTCGTTATGGTATAACAACAAACAGATTGTTGTGCACAATTGTTTGTGACGGTTGAAGAAAATCTTGAGTGGCGAATACGCGCGAGAACGTGGTGCTAGATTAAATTGCAGATAGTGAAAGCCACTATTCGGCCGATTTTATATTGATTACGGAAGTATAGTTTTTACCGATTCTAAATCAGTGGCACCGCGATAAAAATAATTAGATAACATACATTATGTACCAGGGAAAAGTGGAACAGCGGTCCGTTTAAATTCAATTTCAGCGCTCGTTTAAAACAACTCATTGGCTAACTTTATTATGTGTGATGTCTGACATAGGGATTTTTTGCCGCTTTTATGTCACTTCCGTAGTATATTTGATTAAAACATTATGGAATAAATGAATGAGACTTTTAGAAACATTTATAAACGATTCTGCGTTAGAAAGATAAATAATGTAAAATTGAAGAATTTTTCTTTATATTTCAGAGGATAATATATCATTTTTAATTTTAGTATAATGTATGAAATTTGTTGCTTTTCATATGGAAAATTTGAGATA